GGGGGGGGGGGGGGGGCACACGGAGGGGGGGGGGGGGTACTCATAGTCGTGCATGCCGTAGTCGTTAGACCATTGACCTCGCATCCCTACAAAGCCGGGACGGAGCACGCCGGGTTCTCACCGGACCAGGCTCTCACATCACCAAGCGCGAAGCGCCGTGAGATATTCGGCGAGTCGCATGAAGGGTGCGCTGCATCCTGCTAAGGGTTTTCGGCATCTTGTGCTCACTTCCTTGCGTACGGATGACAGCTGCGAATGACTTAATTTAATTTCTGGTTGGGGGAGGGGGGGTATCTACAGTAGATGGGGAGCAACAAGCCTGGCCTTCCTCGATCGGCGCGAAAACATGCATTCAGACGCACACCGGACACAGGTGCGTGACCCAAGTCAAGATACCTGCACAACAACACTTGCATCACTGGACCAACGACTAACGTGTAGATGAAACAAAAAGTTCCACCTCATGCTGCAAAATTGTGCATGATTCCATATGGCACTCTCTGGATTACTCAAAGTGTACAACGATAGTACAGCAGTACCTTTCCTGTGCAAGCAGAGCACTCATTGTACCACCGTGTACAATAAAGTTACACCATTAGACTAGTCAGTGCTGACTAGTCTAATGGTGTAACTTTATCTTACACACCACATGCAACCACCGCCGTAGGTTGGACGCTGTCACCCAACAAATCGAGACAAACGTCATTCCCTCAGCCCGAGGCCAAAACCAGGTTGTACGATAGCCCCCACAACCACATTGTACCTGCTGGTGTCCCTGGTAGTGCGGCTGCTGTGCCCATCGCTTCACCGGCAAAGCTGCAGTCGAACCTCGCACAACGGCGGTCATGCCGCGTTGTGTGTGATGCACAGGGCCACCTGCAATCACGCCATACCTCCTTGTTACAACCGACCCAACTCTTCCCGCCACTAACATGCGGTGGTACATGCCTACCACGCCACAGTCACACTCGATGTGTGCGTGGAGCAGTGTCGTAGCCGCAACACACAGCACTATCGTACGGCAGGCGCCCTTAAGAGGCCCCGTGAATCGAAAAACGGATGATCAGGATGGCTAAAAATCTGGGGCACCGGGATGCATCACTGACATGGACCGAGCGGACCGCCCCCTGCAGCAGGAAAACCGGCTGCAGCTCGTTGGACAGAAGGGAGAGCTCTCGCGGGCTTTTGCGCAGCCTTATTATCGGTGAGTGTTGAATTGGGTCGGTGGAATTCTCTGGAATGAAGCTAGAACGCGTGTTTGGCTGTGAACAGCACCACCAACTGACCTTCAACCAGCACGCCTCAACCGCTCGCTTATCCCAACCGTACACATTGCCAACAAGCGTAACCCTGTTGTGTCACTGTCATTGGTAGCAGCACCTTGTCGTACTTGTAAGCTGTTTTGGCAGCCTTAGCCTTCCTATCGCACACCCTGTGTCGTAACCTATCATGTGGTATCCCATCATTCCAACAAAGGAAGTAGACTAGACCTGGTGTGACCTTTCATGAGTCGCAGCACTCGTGCACTCGTGCACTGGTAACGGCGTTTGTGTCGTTTCAGAAGGCCCCTGCACGCGGTCAAGCGACAACGTACCGCTAGGCATAGCGAGCAGAAAATCACTGCGGTACAGCTTGCGGTAGACGCTTCTACCTGATGAGCATGACTCTATCTCTCTTTTCAACCTGTCGGCGGCAATCAACCCTTGTACATCCCACGAACGACTGAACGACACGTGCATGTATTCACGGGGTACCGCTGAACAACACACCTGGATGCATCCAGCGTTTCGCTGCTTGAACGTATCGCCACTAGGGAATATACTCTTGCAGGACTTGTGCTATTGTAGCTTTTTATCTTTTTGCCACCTGGTGTTTGATATGAGAGATCTGATACTTTTCGGGCTCATTGTGAGGCTTCAAATAAACTGAAACTACCACCGGGGGTGGTACGCTGTTGGGGTGAGCGATACGCGTCGGTGTGAGACCATTGTCAGCACCGCCCGTTAGAGCTAAAAAGCGATTGTTAGAGAGCTCCTGAGTATGTGGGATAGCTGGCAAGAGGCGGGGGTTGCTACCTCAGTAGCAGCAGTTCGCAAGTTTGAATTTTCCGTCCGTGGCAAGTTTACTTTGCCAGCATGCTGTGTTGCCTCTATAATAGCAGCTTGAGCCCGCAAGCTTCGACAACGGTCCGGATATACGTGGTGTGCGCTGATGGTGTACGGCGTGAGCATCCATGGGCTGAGACCCGCGAGTTATGTATACACCATACTACATACTCCGGGGAAGTTTTCCACACAGTCTGAACCAGATTGCTCTCCTAAGCAGCAGTGGTGTCCACAGGGTAGCAGGGTGTGGCTGATGGAGACCCCCCACCCCCCCATCCCGTCCGTTGCCTTCCCCCACTCCAGAACACGACGAAGATGCCACCGCCGGCAGCAACAATTGCATATCCTCCTTTCTCGTCGAATAGAAGAACAGTAGCGGTGGCGGGAAGAAGTCGGAGCGGCATCATCGCGCCCCGAAGGGGGGCGGGGCTCCTGGCGACGGCTCATGCCGCTCTACTCGCCGTGCTGCTCGTGGGCCTCTCCCCGACCGGCTGCCGGTCTTTCGTCGTCTCCCCCCCCATCCCCGGAGGAAGCGGCTTCCCTGCGTCCGCTAAAGGTGGCACTGACAGCGGGCATTGCTCCGGGGGGGGGGGCGCGGNGGGGGGGGGGGGGGCGCGGCTTGGCCGCGGACGACCGACGGGGGGGAAGGGGGGTTCCGTGCGGTCGAGGGAGGGAGAGGGGTAGGGGGGGGGTGGTCGTATGGGGCGACCCGGCGACGGAGCGGCTACCTTCAGGTGAGAAGACGTTGTGGCGTTTGGCGGATTTTGGG